GGAACGTACCATGTGGCGGCCGCCGCGAGGGGGCCGGGTGGCAGTGCGGGACAGGTACCGCGCCCGAGCTGGCAGCAAACAAGGACTCTGGCATCGCAGGGACGTGACTCGAGTGGGCTGCAGCTCGGGTCTCGGTGCGGTAAAGGGGCTTGCGCCGTTTCCTCGGGATGCAAAATCACCTTGAGGTTCTTCCACTTGTTAAAACTGATTTCGCTGGGCTTAGAAAAGCTTAACGGTGCTTGAATTAGTGTAGTAATTAAAAAAAAAACAAACAAACAAACCAAAATCATTTGAAAATCAATACTCTCGACGTATCTCGACATGCCCAGGTGGCCAAGAAGGCCAATGGCATCCTGGCTTGTGTCAGCAATAGCGTGGCCAGCAGGGACAGGGAAGGGATCTGACCCCTGGACTCGGCACTGGTGAGGCCGCCCCTCGATTCCTGTGTTCAGTTTTGGGCCCCTCACTACAAAAAGGCCATTGAATGACTCGAGCGTGTCCAGAGAAGGGCAACGGAGCTGGGGCAGGGTCTGGAGCACAGGTCTGATGGGGAGCGGCTGAGGGAACTGGGGGGGTTCAGTCTGGAGAAGAGGAGGCTGAGGGGAGACCTCATCACCCTCTACAGCTCCCTGACAGTAGGGTGCAGAGAGCTGGGGGTGAGTCTCTTTAACCAAGTAATAAGCAACAGGACAAGAGGGAATGACCTCAAGTTGCACCAGGGAAGGTTTAGACTAGATATTAGGAAGCATTTCTTTACAGAAGGGATTGTTGGGCATTGGAATGGGCTGCCCAGGAGGTGGTGGAGCCCCCATGTCGGGAGGTGTTTAAGTCGGGTCGACATAGCACTGAGGGATCTGGTGTAGTTGGGAACTGTCAGTACCAGGTTAACGGTTGGACTAGATGATCTTCAAGGTCCTTTCCAACCTACTTGATTCTGTGATTCTGTATCATGACAGCAAAGAAAAGAACATTTTAAGAGAGACTACTTGAGTGCTTGTGTTCTGACAGGAAACAAATGATCCTGTTGATCTATTGATGGGGTAACGGAAAGGGTCTGTTTCATGTGTCTATCCAGGACTGAAGTTGAAGCAGTGGTGCTAGTGAGGCCTTGTGCTCTGTACAGCACAGCAGTTGCTCTACACACCACCCAAGAAGCTGAGCCCTACTGCTCCTGATACCTCTGCAAAGACACTTCTACTCTTTCTGAAAGCAGTACCCTGAAAAATCTCTTCAGGATCAATTTTGGATGAGAGGCAATACTGATGTGATGATGGGAGGCTTGTCTTAAATCAGTATATTTTCTTCCATGTCATCACTGCACTTATCAGGGAATAAAAGAATAAAATTCACATATGCAGTTACTGGATCTGTAGTGTTTTGCTGGTGGTGTTTCAGAAGTTAAATAAGCTGTGATGGTGAGAAGCATGTTCCTCTGTGTTATTTTTTCAGCTGTAGCTACCTCTCTTCTAAACACATCAGCAGACAGATAAATGACTTCTAGACTAGAAATATTTTTCTAGGTGTGTTAGGATTTTTTTAATGAATTTTGGATCTGCATAATCACATCCTTCAGAGAGTGAAAATTGGTATGGTTCTCTCTTCTTTTGTCAGCTACATTTTCAATAGTCTATATTGGATCTATGAAAAAGATGTAATGAAGGACAGAACTGCTATAGAAAGAAACTGTGCTCTATGAACCTAGTTCAGGCTTGGTCTTCTACATAACCGCTGTTTTAAGAACAGTTAACAGTGTTTGTGAATATAAATGACGTACAATGATGTTAAAAACATGTATGTAAAATACACTTCTAATTTGTCTTGTGTGTTTGCTTCATGTTTTTGACATTTCATGCCTTCATATTAGCTTTTTTCCCTTCTAACTCCTCCCCACTCTCTTGGTATTTGCAATCAGTCTGCGCTCAATTAGCTAAATTAGCAATAATGTTCTTTAAAAAAAGTTATCCACAAGAGAACACAGTAGCAAGGTTTACTTGTAGGAGTTTCTTGATTAACTGTGATTCTATTTTCTTTTTCTACTAACTTGGAGAGATTCCTCCCTTGAGATTTGACGTTTTAATTAATACATCCTTTACCTTCCTTCCACTTCTAAATCAAGAACAAACCGTCTAGCATGGTAGGTATGGCTAGAGCTGAATGGTGTTTTGAAGTAATGATATGCTAATGGTATACTACAGTTGTTATTTAGTCTGTAGCGACAAACAACTTATTGACTGATGGTTTTCATGGTTGCAATCTGGTTACGAAACCGTAAGGTCTAGTGAGGGAGGGTTGCTTCCAACTTAGTATTCACAAGAAGGCAGAGCAGTTGATGCTGGACTTTATTCAGGGCCATCTTCAGTCTTGCAGCCTTGGAAGAGCTAGCAAGGACCATAAGGAGTATGAAAAAGCAGCTTAAAAATTTGAAATAAAGTATAACACGAGATGACTTTCCTTGAAAATAAGGAATCTATCTTCTTCAGTGTGCTCAAAAATTACAGAATTAAAATAAATTTGATGGAAAGTGGTTATTAACTACCAAGATTTCTTTTTTATTTATTTGAAAATTATTCACAAAATATTTTGCGTTTCGTAAGAATGCAATCAAAAAAATGAAGCAAGGAAGCATGTACTTTGTATTAATTGAGATAACAGTGCTCAACTTTACAATGACACAACTACTCCAGGTTTGAGTTGCAGCACGGGTATATTGACAAGATCCCGTATGTTCTCCTTGGACCAGAACGATGAGCCTCTGGGGTATGATGTTGCACATATGACAAAGTAGTAATTGAAAAACTGGTAATTTATGCTATTGTTAAAATCAGTGCTTAAGAAGAGTTTGGTCTCCACTTTTGGGAAATAAATTTTCTATAAAGCCAAACAGAAAGGGATTCTAATCATGGCTGGGGCCTTTGCTGCTAGCACACCTTGATCAATGATGACATTTTATTAAGTCATTCAAAGCAAGGGGGAAAAAAAGCATGAAAGGAAACACATGATGCCTGTCTCCGCTGACTTTTACTTTCTGTGTCTCTTAGCAGAAAAGAAAAAAGTAGAAAAAGCCACTATAATTCTTGAAGTACTATCCTGCTCCAGAATTCTGGAAGTCAGGAAACGTCAG